ATTCCTTCTAGTCTTCAGAATCTGCATAATGGTTTATAGAGTGGAATGCAGTGGTGGGATTCAGCCAGTTCGCACCTATTCGGAAGAACCGGCTGGTAACTTTCTAAGTAGTTCAGAGAACCGGTTGTTGGAAGAAATCTCCTTTTGTTTTTTCCACTTTACAGGGCTAATCCTGTAAGGAAGGCAGGAAGGAAACATTTTGGTGTTGTTCCTAGCCTAATCTTTATTGACCTGCTTACAGAAATTGCCTCACTAGTTAACTCTTATTACATTGTAACAGCTAAGGTGAAGCACCCATCGACCTGAGTGACCTTGAATTGGCCAAGCCCACCCATTCACATGACCCCGAGCCCCACCTACCCAGATAGTCATTAGGGCAGAGAACCAATTATTTGAATCCCACCACTGGTTGAATGGGACAACTCGCTGTGGCCAACTCACCATGGCCAACTGGCTATAGGACAACTCATTGTGGCCAACTGGCCACGAGACAATTCCATGCGGGGTAACTCAATGTGATCAATATAATCCACCACTGTTTCTTTGGCATTATTTCTATTGACAAAAATGGAAATAATGTGGAAGAAACAGTGGCGGATAACATTTATTGTGTTATTATCCCATGTGTTTAGTTTACTTTATTGATTAGCCCTTGGGCCATATCCAGTGCAGAATTCCAGACACAAATTATTGTGTCTGGAAACAAATTATTACTAAAATCTGATAAAAACAGTTTAAAATGAAATTGGAATAAAATTCAATTTAAAATGAAATTGGAATAAAATTTGATTCAAAATGAAATTGGAATAAAATTTGATTCAAAATGAAATTGGAATAAAATTCGATTTAAAATGAAATTGGAATAAAATTTGATTTAAAATGAAAATTGGAATAAAGTACAATAATTTAATATATAGATAAATAAAATATGATAAAATTATATTTTGGAAACACCCATACAATCTACCCCAATCAGTCCCACAGATGCCGATCTCAACTGAACCATTTTGCTCAACCATTATGCTGTGTTAAATGTTCAGATTCTTACTCGACGTGGATTGTCCTGTGGCAAGTTGGCTGTGGCAGTTGGCCACGGCGAGTTGTTCCTAGATCCTTATGGAGAGAGTTTTCAATATAGAGGCCTCTGACTCTGCTTGTGTCCTTTTTAGCTCTCGTTACCCTCCTTGGGGTGAACATCTACATCGCTTATTCCGCTGCCCTCTTCAAGCACGTCGCATCATTTCAGGGGAGGAAGAAGTTCATGGAAAATCTCAACATCCAGTTTGGCTGGTCTTTGGCCTTTGTCTGGGTCTCCATCGGCGCTGACCTTCTCACCGGGTTGGCCTTCATTCTCATGGCCAAGATGGTGGGCCAGAAACGACGGTGGGACAATTTCATTTGAGGGTATGGGAGATGGTGCTCTTTCCTGCTCTCTCCATCCCTGCCCCCTATCTCTTTCTCATCACTGCTTTGATCTAAGTTGAAGTCATGCTTCAGGGGTTTTTGCCACTGCTACCATGTTTCCCCGAAAACAAGACAGGGTCTTATTTTCTTTTGACACCCCCCCCCGAAATAAACGCTTGGCCTTATTTTTGGGAAGGTCTGATTATTTTTGAGGTTCAGGAGGCGGCGAGCATGATCACCTCACGCCTGTTGCTGTGTTGCGATATTTTCTGGGAGGGCTTATTTTCAGGGGAGGACTTATTTTAGTGCATGCGTTCAAAAGCCTGATTGGTCTTATTATCCAGGGAGGTCTTATTTGGGGGGAAACGGTACAAGTAGTTGAGTATTTTCACCCAAAACGAAGATGAAAAACCCAGATTTGTGCAGAGCTGTGACTCCATGTAATATAAGCAAATAAAAAAAATATGTATCCTCAAATACTGCATTCCATAGGAAACCAATGCTTCCTTGAACAAATTAACACAACATCTTTATTTTGTCTAATTTATCCTTCTTCCCCCTTTTAATTGTATTTAAGTACAATATTTAATATTAAATAATATTAATTACATTATTAAATTATTGATTAATTAATTAAATTATTAAAATATTAATAATATTTAAGTACAAATACATTGTATGTAAGTTCAGTGACAATAAAGATTATACTTAATATTTAAAATTATTCACTGCAACTTTGGTTGTTGCCAGTTAGACTGGCACATTAGGGTTAAAGAAGAATTAGCCTTTCACCAGAGGTGGGTTGCTTCCGGATTGGGCAAACTTGTAGTAGCGGTGGTGGGAGGCTCCGCCCACCCACCCGGACATTTTTGTGCATGCACAGAAAAGTCACGTGCACGCAGGAGCGTGCCTGAACCAGTAATTAAAAAAAAATGGCAACCCACCACTGCCTTTCACCCTTAGGTTTTGGAAATCTTGCCCATCCGCCATCCTAATTTCTGAAGTTTCAGCAGATACTTTTTCTAAGGGCTACCTAGATGTTTTCTTCTTTTCTTTCTTCTTTTCTTCAATTTTAAAGGAGAAAAAAATGAAACAGAAATCTGAATTCCTGATCAGGTGCTTAGATTCTGAACAAATTCTGCAGTTGTTTCTGCACTGCCAGAAGGAAATATTGGCAGTATTCAGTCCATAGGTCAGATAGATATGTACAGGTAGTCCTTTGACTTAGGATCACAATTAATTTCCAATTGCTAGGCCAGATAGTTGTTAAGTGAGTTGCATCCCATTTTACAAACCTTTTTGTCACAGTTATTAAGTGAACCACTGCAGTTATCGTTAAGCGAACCATGCTATCATTGGCAAATCTGATTTTTCCCCATTGAGTTTGCTTGCCGGAAGCCAGCTGGGTAGGTTACCAATGGTAATCACATGACCCCAGGACAGTGAGCCCAGTGGCAAAAAAGAAGCCTCCTGGATGTTTTGGAAGTACAGAAACGTTTCCAGCCTCTGCAGGCCCTCCAGAGCCCGGGGTGTGTGTGTGTGTGTGTGTG